TAATTAATAGGAGCAGATTTATTTGAATAATAAAGGATGCCTTTCTCAAGAGCAAGAAGCATTTATTATATATTTATCTTTATTCAAGATAAAATTTTACGACTTTAGACAAAATTTCGTTAATATCTAATTCTAGTAACATATTTACACTATATCTTTTTTTTTATATTGACTATATATAACATATAATATATTTAGATCTACCTATTTGACCCAAGCTACAACGATTTATTTTTCTCCTTACAATATACATACATACGTAAATTATACTGAGCCACAGTATTTTTCAAGTCAATTTCTATATGTATATTAAATTACTTATATATTATACGTATATATATATATATTGATATAAATAAATATTATTCTCTTATCGTTATCATTATAGCTTCTTAATTTCTTTCTTTTTAATTTGAATTTTTTTTTTTTTTAATAGCAAAAATACGAGTTCGTAAACAGCTAAACTTAATCAAACCAATTATATTAATTATTTAATATAATTCTAATCTTACTTTTAAAGAATTCACCAAGGTGGCTTTCTGATATTCATGATATTACTGTCGCAGTATATATTTTATTTTATTATATCAAGATTTTATCAAACAATATATTATGCATTATAAAAACTAATTCTTTATTTTAAAGTATATAACCTTCTATGACGCTAAACCATATGCTACAAATGACATCAACTACTACGTTTTCATATATTTGATCAATCAGGTGATTTTTTTATATTATCAGATATATATTATCAATATTAATTAATTAATTAATTAATTTATATATTAATTAGACTCTTAAGCTTTACGATAATAAATGATTAAATAATTGATATAATATTTAATAAGGTTGTTTTGTTATTGTTTTTTTTTTATTCTTATTCTTCCAAACTTTTTAAAATTTACAGAAAATGGACAACAATAACGTTGCTTTATTACTCCAATTATTAACAAATCCAAGTACTTTACAACAAACGCTTGCAACTATTACACAAAGTCAGCAACAAAGTTTGTCTATACCCGAAACTACTTTGCCAGTACCATCTAACGCTATTATTGGAATTGTTAATACATCAGCAAGTATTTATTATTATATTAAATATAATTTATATAATAATACTAATTTTAAATAATTTAGTTC